TTTTTCTTTTTTGTTTGGGGTCCGGCAGTCCGTGGAAAAAACGAAATGACCAACGGTTTCTGGCTTTATCAAAATTTCCACAATTTTCCAGTATTTTCTCTGTTTTGCAATGAGCCTACGCTGTAAAAAACAAAACAAAAAAACTTAAAAAAAGACACAATGAAGCCCACAGCTCGAGCAGGATCTCACAACACACAAATTGCACACTTCCTCTCACGAGAGTGGAAAGCCAACACATGATATGAGAACAACGAAAATTGAGCGGAAACTGAAAGTTTCATACAGCTGGTTTGCTTATGCAAGCTGGACGGCTATGGCTGTCAGCAACAACAACCAAGAACTCTCTCTCTCTCTCTCTCTCTCTTGCTCGCTCTCTCTCGCTCTCTCTCTCTCTCTCTCTCTCTCTCTCTCTCTCTCTCTCTCTCTCTCTGTGTGTGTCTGTCTGTCTCTCTGTCTCTCTCTCTCTCCCCTCAGGCCTCCGTCTCTTTCTGGATGTCTTCGTGACTCTCTCTTGCTCATCTACACTCAGGAGAGCATGAGCAAATGCATGAGCGCCAATTGGAATCGAACCCACGACCTCTCTGTTGCTGCGCCAGAGCTCTAACCAATTGAGCAACCACAGTGAATATGCGATGTACAGGGACAATGCATCTGAGGTTAGGGTGTCCACAAGGTGCTTGTATGGTTTGCACCGGTGCATCTGGCAAGCGCTGCTCCCTCTCTCCTAAGCTTGGCCATTGTACTCCTTATGCTCGCTGGACAGGAGAGCCGTGTCCTGCGGCAAAGAAGGGCCGGGGCCGTTTGTCTGTGCAAATGATAAAGGGGAAAAAACGTCGAAAAAAAGTAAACAGAAATCAGTAAGTCTGGACAAAGAAGAAAGGAAAATCAGAATGCGTGAATTCGTTCGAAAGTTTTAGAAAATCAACTTAAGCTTTGTGTCATGTGTTTGCCACTGTGAAATTGCAGGTAGGGAGAGTCGAGCATCGTCGGCTGACCATATCGGAGCTTTCTGCATGCTGGCAGAAGGAAGCCGAGACTTGCATTGGAGGGATCGCTCGTACTCATCCTGGCCATTCATTGTTGAGTTGTTGAGCTGATGCCAACTTGAAGAACAGAGAGAGTGGGTCTCACTCCATTACTCAAGATTCTACATGTATTTGGACTGTACCATGGACCAGATACGTTCGTACTGACCCATCATTTTGAATGTATCAGGGCCATTACCGAGGGATCGCTACTCATCCTGGCCATTCATTGCTGAGTTGTTGAGCTGATGCCAACTTGAAGAACAGAGAGAGTGTGTCTCACTTCATTACTCAAGATTCTAGATGTATTTGGACTGCAGCGTGGACCAGATACGTTCGTACGGACCCAACATTTTGAATGTATCGGGGCCATTAGAACCCCGAGCTGCTGATACCTTGATATAAACTGAATTGCACCAGATACAGGTGTAATGACCATGCTGCAATATGTCGCCGTGTATGCCCTGCACACCGACAGGCAATCGGCAGACTGAGTCCGCAGGCAGGCAGGCAGGTATGTAGGCAGCTCCCGTCTTCACCCGAATAGAATGCCCGGCCATCATCAATGTATGTAGACTGACAGTTGCACCAAATACAGGTATAATGACCACGTGCTGCAACATTCCCTTGTATGCCTGCAAACTGACAGGCAGGCAGGTGTGTAGGCATCTACCTTCGTCACCCGAATAGAACGCCCGGTCATTATCTGTGTATTTGGACTGAAAGCTGCAGCAAATACAGGAATAATGACCCTGCGTTCTATTCGGGTGAAGATCGTGGCATGCAGGCCTGCAAACTGACACATAGGAGCAGATAGATGGGCATGCAGAGTGGCAAGGGGGGGCAGTCTGAGAGGAAGGAAGGGAGGCAGCGGAGAGGTGAGTATACATGCAGCTTCTGAATGCACCTGGCCAGAGTTTTGTGTCGAATACACTGCACAAACACAGGAAGATGGATTTGGAGAAGATTGTGAGACCAGGCAGTGAGCAACTGAGAGTGGCTGGCAGTCTTGATAGACACCAGACGGGCTATTGTGTAGCTTTTTTCCACACAAAGAGACCTTCTTGAAAAGGGTCATTTCACCTGTATTCAGCACAAATTTCAGGCCAAGTACGGATTCCAGAACATCCTTCTTTCTCCTGGAGGGGAGAATGCTGCCTGATTCAGGGGAGTGCAAAGAAGAAGTAGCGCCTTGCTCCTTTGCGCGATGTTCTAAATGTATCTGGAGCTGGTAGTGATCCCAACAAATTCAAATTGTTCCCTCAGTCCGAATGTATCTACTCCCATAAATCAGTCCAGATACGTCTCATCTTGAGTAGAGAAAGGCCTGTACTTCTGCCGGTGAAAGCTCTAGGTTGGTAGAGGCACACAACAGGCCAGAGTCGTCGTGGGCGACTCCACAGCCGTGTCTCGCAGGCCAAGGGTTCGACTTTGTGTTCTCAAGTCGCAGAGAAACTTACTCTCACAACCTCTCTCTCTCTCTCTCTCTCTCTCTCTCTCTCTCTCTCTCTCTCTCTCTCTCT